AATGGCTCACACCTGTAATCATAGCACTTTAGGAGTATCAGTTGAGCCCAGGAGTCCAAGACCAGCCTGGGCAACAAGGCGAGACCCTGTCTCTACAAAAAAATTAAAACTTAGCCAGGTATGGTGGCATGTGCCTGTAGTGCCAACTACTCAGGAGGCTGAGGTGGGAGGATCACTTGAGCCTGGGAGGCCAAGGCTGCAGTGAGCTGTGATCATACCACTGCACTCCACAGCCTGGGTGACAGAGCGAGACTGTGTCCAGAAAAAAACAAAAAAAAAGTATTGCCAAAGAACCCAACAAAAACAAAAGCAAAACCAACCAACCAACCTGCAACTAACATCACACTCGGTGAAATGAATATTTGATACTTTCACCAGCAGCTGGGAATTAGGACGGGTGGGTGGTCACTCTCAACACTTCTGTTCACAGTTACACTGCAGGCCTTCACAGTGCATCAAGGCAAAGAAAAAAGCAAAAGGTGTGAGCTTGGAAAGGAAGACTTAAACTGTCTTTGGGATGACATATGGTGGCCACTCCTGTTGTCCCAGCACTTTGGGAGGTGAGGCGGGAGGACCGCGTGCGCCCATGAGTTTACAACTGCAGTGAGATACGATCATGAGAACCTATCTCTCAAAAAAACAACCCCCAAAACTGTCTTTGTTCACATACAACATGATTATGTGTACATGGAAAATATTTTTAAAATATACAAACAAGTTGTTAGAATTAATAAGTGCATTTAGCAAGGCTGCAGGATAGATCGATATAAAAATCAATTGTATTTCTGTATAGCAGCAAAAAATAATTGGAAAATAATATTTTAAAATTTGAAAAGCCGACCATTTATAACAGCATGAAGCATTAAATATTTAGGAATAATTTTAGCAAGGATACAATGATACATAAGACCTCTACACTGAAATTTACAAAACATGACTGACAGAAGAGAAAATGTAACAGTAAATACACCAGGTTCGTTAAGGTTCAAGGTGCCAGTTTTTCTGTGGAAACTGACAAGCTCATTTAAGTTTCATACAGAAAAGCAATAACAATCTTGAAGAGAAAGAAAGAAGTTGTAGAACTTAGACGACTAGATGTCAGGATGTACTTTAAAGTGTCAGAACTAAGACATGGTACTAATGACGCAGGGCAGAGTAACAGACCAGCAGAATGCAACAGGGCCTGGAAAGAGCCCACAGCTGTGGGCTCACTTGATACATGACCGAGGTGCTATTGCAGCACAGGGGAGGAGGACAGTCTTCGAAAAATGATCCTGGAATAGTTGGATATCCACACGGCAAGCAGGGAATATGTCCCCATCTCATACTATTCACAAAAACTGAACTCGGATGAATTATAGAATTAAATGTTGAGAAAAACAATAAGGCATCTGAGTGACACAGACGGGGCACCTTCGTGCCCTCGGAGGGGCCGAGGATGTCCAAACCGGACACACACAGCACACAAAAGAAACCAACAAATTGGGCTTCCTTAAAATGCCAAACTTCTTTCATCCAACGCCAGCATGAGGAAGATGACTGGGTCCGCCACAAACTGAGAGAAGCCGTCAGCAGGGAGAAGAATAATACTCCGGCTTAGAGGTGGGGAAGACATGAGCCGGTGTCTTATGAAAGGTGATATGCGGACGGGCACCGGAACGGCCAGCTCTCTCTCTTGCCGCTTTCCTAAAGAAGTGGCGATACTGTCCCTGACGAGGGTGTGGAGTGAAGTGGGGCTCTGCCCACCAGCCGAGTGGCTTTTCTGTCTTGAGGTAAAGCGTCTGCTCGACTCATCACCCCGCAATTCCCCTCTTCGCCCCGTGAATGCACAAGAGAAAGGCATGTACGTGGCCACCCAGGATGTGACCAGTGCTCAAATGACGGTCACGTGTGGGACACGACTCCAATGCCTCTCACAGGACGGGTGACCGCGTGGCAATGGACATGTGCGGCGCGGCTGGCTCGGCTGTGATGTGCCAGGGTGGGACGTGTGATCACATGGCAATGGATGTGTATGGCGCAGCCGGCCGGCTCGGCTGTGATGTGCCAGGGTGGGACATGTGATCACATGGCAATGGACATGTATGGCGCGGCCGGCCGGCTCAGCTGTGATGTGCCAGGGTGGGATGGATGATCACATGGCAATGGATGTGTGCAGTGTGGCCGGCCGGCTCGGCTACGATCTGCCAGGGTGGGACGTGTGATCACATGGCAATGGACGTGTATGG